TGGAGTCCTCTCAGTTGTGGCTTCAGTGTATGACCCATTAGGATTCTTGGCCCCATTCATCCTACCAGGAAAACGAGTGCTACAAGAGATGTGTCAGAAAGGCAGCGGTTGGGATGAGCCACTCCCCAGCGTTTTGAAGCCGAAGTGGGAGAGCTGGATCAATGATTTAAGAAATCTGGACAAGATTCAGATCCCAAGATGCTTCGTACCAGAGAACTTTGGAAATGTCCTGAGAGTGGAACTGCATCACTTTTCAGATGCCAGCAGTCAAGGCTATGGTCAGTGCTCATACATCAGATTGGTGGGCAAAGATAAGGTGCATTGCGCCTTGATTATGGGCAAAGCAAGAGTCGCTCCTACAAAAATAGTCACTATACCAAGACTAGAGTTAACTGCTGCAGTAGTCTCTGCTGCTATGAGCAGTATGCTGAAGGAGGAACTGGAGCTAAAGATCGACAAAGAATATTTCTGGACAGACTCACAAGTTGTTCTAGGTTATATCAATAACGAAGCCAGAAGGTTTCACGTCTTCGTAGCAAACCGTGTCCAGAGAATCCGGGAAACCACTGACCCAGGGCAATGGTTTTATGTCGACACAGAACACAACCCTGCTGATCACGCCTCAAGGGGCCTCAAGGTAGGAGAGCTGCTCAAGTCAAACTGGCTCACTGGGCCCAAGTTCCTGTGGGAGAGAGAGGTAATTACAGCCCAAGGATCTCCAGAGTTGCTGGTAGGAGACCCTGAGGTCAGGGCAACCCAAGTCTTGAAAACTGATGCTTCAAGGCAAGTCGACTTTCAGGAGAGACTGGCAAGGTTCTCAAAATGGTCTACAGCGATAAAGGTCGTTGCTCGGATACAACGGTTGGCTAAGAGGATCAAGGACACAGAGCCCATTAATGTTGAGGAAAGAAGGAGGGCCACTCTCACACTCGTCAGGCTTGCGCAGAAAGATGCCTTTGAAAAGGAGTTGCACATACTCCAGACATCGGGAAAGCTGCCTTGTAACCACCAACTGTATCAGCTAGACCCGTTCCTTCAAGATGGTATAATGAGAGTGGGAGGACGTCTGAGGAGAGCATCCGCACCTTTGGATCTGAGACACCCTATAATCCTCCCAAAGGATGGTGTTGTTACACGCCTTGTCCTTGCGCATTATCATGACAAGACACAACATCAGGGCAGAGGACAAACGTTGAATGAACTCAGGGCCAGTGGTTACTGGATCCTTGGTGGCAGTAAGGCAGCAGCCCAGTACATAAAGCAGTGTGTCCTGTGTAGAAGAGCCCGTGCACCTCCAGAGGAACAACGGATGGCAGACTTACCCAGAGACCGTATTGATCCCTCCCCACCGTTCACGTACTGCGGTATGGACTGTTTTGGTCCCTTCTGTACCAAGCAAGGCCGCAAGGAAAACAAACGTTATGGGCTCCTTTTCACATGTCTAAGCTCCAGAGCGGTCCATATAGAGATGTTGGATGACATGACGACCGATGCATTCATCAATGCTTTACGGTGTTTCCTAGCCATCCGTGGAGCCGTCAGACATATCAGATCAGACCAAGGATCAAACTTTGTTGGAGCAAGAAATGAAATGGAAAGAGCTCTCAAGGAAGTAAACAAGGAAAGAGTGGCTACATACCTGGCAGATAAACAGTGCGACTTCTGCATGAATGCGCCAGCCTCGAGTCATGCTGGTGGTGCATGGGAGCGGCAGATCAGAACAGTAAGGAGTGTGCTTGGCTCAGTCCTTGCTCACAGTGCTGGAAGATTGGACGACACTTCCTTAAGAACCTTCCTTTATGAAGCCATGTTCATTGTAAACAATCGCCCCCTTACTGTTGATAGTATCAGTGATCCCACAAGTATGGAGCCATTAACACCAAATCATCTGCTCACCATGAAATCCTCTGTTCCTCTGCCCCCGCCAGGTAACTTTGTTAAAGAAGACTTGTATGCCAAAAAACGTTGGAGACGGGTGCAATATCTGTCTGAGCAATTTTGGCATAGGTGGAAGAAAGAATATCTTGCCAATATCACTCTTAGGCAACGATGGCATGCTCCAAGGCGCAATGTGCAAGTCGGAGATATCGTCATTGTAAAGGAAGAAGAGCTGCCTCGTAATGAATGGAAACTTGCCAAGGTTCTTAAAGTACACGAGAATGATGATGGGCTGGTGCGAAGAGTTACAATACAGATTGGAGAGCGGAAGTTAGGAAAAGGGGGGGAACGCCTCAGCAAGCCATCCATCATTGAGCGACCCATTCAGAAGTTAGTTATTCTCGTAGAAAGCAGCTAAAATTCTGCTTCACAGCCCTAGTGCAGTTAGTCACTGACCACATATCTCCTTTCTGTGTTGTTAAAGGAAGATTATTTTTCTTGGACCAATGTGTGGTGAGAAAGTGTTCTCAATTGATATTGTAACATTTAACTTTAATCTGGTGTATACTGTATATCATTAAATGGAGAGTTTAGTTTCAGATGTTTTATGAGTGACCTTAACAAATGCTTTGAAATAACCATTGATTTATTAGATTAATATGAATGTATAAAACACCAAGGTTGTATGATATGTTATTAATTAATCAAAGGTCATTTGGTGGGAGTGTAGCTGACGCTAAATCCAGCGTAAACCCGTTTCCATGACAACACCGGAAGTCGCTCGTTCGCGACCTTTACGACGATAAAGTCAGTTCGTAATGCAATTATAATATGTGTTTACTTGTTTAATGTAATTCTGAGTGAAAGTGTGACTTAAGCTGTGTTTACATTGCTCTTGTTAAATTTATGAAGAAGAGAAAGGTTTATCGCTAGTCACATGACTGTTACCCGGAAGTACTGAGAGTAGCGCCAGAGAGAAGAGAGAGTGGCGGGTGAGGACAGCGAACTTTTAAGCTCCCGTCTGTTATTCTACAGCTGGTCTACAAGGCGAACACGGTGATAATTATTAAGTTAATTATTCAGCACTGTTTAATGTTGTTTACAGTCTGTATAAGAAATAAGAGACAGAGTATATAAACGTTGTTTTGGGGTGCTTTGTGCTTGAAACGGTTTTGTTTATCCTCTAGTTTTCACGGTGTTCCATGATACTTCAGAGAAGAATAAATGTGAACGTGGACATCAGTAAGAGGCGTGGACTCTTTTTATGACCAGTGTAGCTAAATCTGGTGCCTTTTAAAGTTTCCTTAGTGTGGTGTCTGAAAATGAAACATAAACAGTTGCATTAAAGATAAAGCTGAATCCCGAACATTTAATATGTATTCTTTAAAAAAACCTCCCTCATAGCCACAGATCCAGCCATACAGCATTTAAATTAAACATTAGGTGTGCAAATTGGCATATCATTCATTTAATATGAGTAACTTGATCACACGTTACAAGTAAGACACTGTTTAATATACATTTTTGACAAACGTACTAATATATTAGTTTTATCTCCTGGGACAAGTTCAGGAAAAAGGAGCTGAATCACTTACCAGGAAGATAGAGCTGTGTTGGGTGTTGGCAGTTAATGCCACAGACAGGTATTCAGCTTGAATAAGACCGCAAGATATTTACTTCAAAATAAAATTAATTAATCTTCTTAAAAAGTCTAAATTAATCTGATCTTTACTTCTATTATTAATTTTAAGACTACATTTTTAAAGTGAATTGATATTTCTGATAATCATACTGATTACTGTATAAATATGAACAAAAGGGCAAACTTAAGGCACTCATGCACAAAGGAGTGATGTGGAATTTAAAAAAAGACTTTATTGGTTATATTGCTTGTTTGTGAAGCTATTGATTAAAGGACGTTGGCAAGTCTTCATCAAGGTTCAGGAAATCAGGAAATAATACCCGAAAATCACCATTTTATACATTCAGGTTTGTGTCTAGATTGAATGATTGGACAGGTGTGACATAATGAGAATCAGAAAGTACCTCTCCAAAATGAAAATAAAACATTTAATTTACTACATCTGCCACCTTAATTGCATCTTAAATGTTTTCTATATTTTCACCTCTCCACTTTTTGTCCAAATTTTAACAGACATGAATAATCATTTTACTTTGAAGGTGATTACTAAAAGTTAAAGATAGGTCTACATTTTAGCTCCCTTGACAGGTTGAGTCATTTCTTCTTGTGGCAGTTACAAAGTCGTACAACCAGTTTATTATAAACTGTGGCCACATTACAGAGAATTCCTTGTCTTTTATGTGCACTAAAGTAACATTGATATTTTAACCACTATTCCAAGATGTGTTTGTTTAAAAAGTAATCAGACCCATGTAGCCAGGTAAAAACTGTAAAAATAGTTTTTGTGGTAAATAAATAAATAACTTCATTGTAGGTTAAAATGTTCAAAGGGTTAAAATGTTTTAAAATCCTAAAAATGTTAATTCCATATATACTATGTACTTTATTTTATTTCATTTGTTAAATGAAAGACTGGTAACTTTTCACTGTCGCACCACATATCTCAAAAAGGTACTGCCTATTGACTGTTTCTGCTCCAGTTGGAGTGAAGGACTGTTAAACACTCCCCAGCAACTAATCAGACCAGCAACGTTTTTTTATTTTTCTCATTGTAATATTCTGCCGACTTATGTTATGAGTGAAGTGCACAGTAGCTAATCAGTCACTCTGATGATTCAAGTTAAATGTGCTAATAAGTAGCTGTTGTTTTGTTTTTTGCTGAGTGAACTGAATTACTGTATTGTCCAAAGTAAAACTGTGAAAAGCCTTGAGGAAAAATAGTGGAAACACTTTCATTGTTTAAGTTTACATTTACATTTACATTGATCTTTTTTGCCTTTTTATTAAAATCAGAAGGTACTTATTTTAATTTCAGAATGGTTTTCAGGTGTGGTTATTATTTTAGTAATATCAAGGTTTTGAGTGACTCCTAACACACCACCTTAAGTTACTTTTCTGCAATACAACTAGCTATAATAAGTAGTTGGAAACCAAGAACTCAGGGCCCCTCTACCTATATGGGGTCCATATTTTTTTCCAGTTTTGCCAGCAGGAGCTTTTATTGTCACTGAGTGCGTTTACAACTGGAAGCAAAAGCGAATTTACGTAACATGCATCATAACAATAAATGTGATTATATCTGCATACAAACATCAAGCTAAACACAAAAAAAACACCAAATACTAGAGAAAATGACTTAAATACTGTCTATGTTTACTCTTGAAACTACTGGTACAGTAATGGTACTTGCAATACTGTGTACCATGACAAAGTTTTTTAGCTACTAGATCTGGGTGATATAAATAAACATGAAATGTTTTGTGTGAATCTTCACATTAGAAGATGGTAGTCTAAGGGGCAGCTAGATTATATTTAGTTTACACATGTTACACCATATGTAATTTGAATAATCTGTAAGGAAAATTGGAACACCATACTGTAAATAAAAAAAAACAAGTCCAATTGACAGGTACGTGGCAATGTAATTTATACCCATTGTACTGACTCACTGACTGTGATCCCACTGCAGCTATTAGGCTTCTGAATATTAGCACCAGTACAAACATACAAAATGAATAAAAAAAACCTAGTCATTTGTAAACTTGAATACAAATGATTAATTTGTGAGCATACATTTGTTATTCTGGAAAATAAATATAAGGTATGTCAAAACACCAAAACCCAGAGTGTATTAAGTCAGTCCAAAATCAAAACTATTAAACTAAAATTATCCAATTAAATTATCCATGACTGACCATTTTAATTGTTTATTTTTCACTGCATTTTACAACACCAAGGGTGCACCTACATGTAGCAATCAAAACATGCAGGGAGTGCTGAATAAATGTTCAAATGTAACATCAAAACCTGAGTATGTGAGAAAAACAGAGTGAAGGAAACATGTATGCTCTTTTAAGAGATTCTCAGATGTATGCTATTGTGGGTTCAAGTTCAAATATCATCATTCTTCTCTAGACACACAAATCAGACAATGAAGATGAGCTTTGATAAACTGCTCTGAACCTGCTGACTGTGACTGCAGCTTAAATTGCATGAAATGAAGAACAACAAGATGCAAAAGTTAATGTCATAATGCAGTAAAGAATATTATCTGATACGCTTTAAAACTTGTTAATTTGTGGTGAAATGTCAGACTAAACGAGCCAACACTAACAAAACATAAAAATTTTAAACATATGAATAATATTACATATGAATAGTATTACATAAATCAGTCTTTAGACTGATAATGTAAAAATTAAACAGCACCCTTTATGATAACAAAGAATTTACTACAGAATCAGAAAGAAAATTGAACATTTTGCAGTTGAGGGACACAAAATGAGGATCCACTCACTGAGTTTCTGGAGGTGCTGCGTAGTCCAATGTGGAATGCTCAGAAACTCAGAGGAAGGTGTTGTATAGTGAGCTAGCAATAGGCAAGATCACCTGCTGGTAAATGGATAGATGGATAGCTAATTGTGAGGGACATTTCATTACAGTTGGACAAGATGTAAACATCTGCTGCACAAACACTTCCTACTCTTTGGTATCAGTGTTGCTGAACCGGTCACTGATATCATCGAAGTAGTTATCAGCGAAGCGAAGCATCTGGATGACGGAGCTGAGCAGCAGAATGTCGCAGTTCACGTCCAACTCCAATTCTTCGCTGTAGTTTTTCACTGGAACAACACAGGACAATGGCACGCCAAGCCGAGCACTGACCTCCTGCATCTGGATCACAAAAGACTCAGATGAGGATTATCATTTTTTCTAAAGACCACATAGAATTGTGCCAATTTTTTGTGAAATCACAGCTAAATTTGTTTTAATTTTCTTTTCAGTGCCACTAAATAAAAACACAATACATGTGTTATGGATTTTTTTTTCTTTTGTATAAAGAGCTAAAACCTTACCATTTCCTTGATGTAGCCACTGTTATAAATGTTTCTCACATCCTCTGTAACCAAAGGGCAGGCTTGGTCTACTTTAGTGAGCAGGGCCAGCTGAGGAATCCCTGTAAACAACCAGAAACAACAGAACAGAAAGAACATTTCCAAAATGCATAATGCTGGGGATTATTAGGTGTCAAAATATGCAGGTTGCGCTTGGATGATATTGGATATTTTGTTATACATGGATTAAACAATTCCTCTCCTGAGTCCGTCATACAAAATATATATACAGTATGTGGTTAGTGTGTGGTGTTGTAAGTGGAAATGGCAATATATCAAAGCAAAACACAAATAATACATTTCAGAAAGAAAGGTATGGTAGTACACAAAGAATTAGCTTTGGCTCAATCTCTTTATAGTATGTTTCTGCATATAAATTGTTGGCGCACATTTTAGTTGTTTCCTTGTGGCTTAAAATAATAAAATAAGGTAAAAATATTAACTTTCAAAAGTCTGAACTTAAAGTCGGATATGCCAATCCATTTATTAACATAACAAAAAATGAAACATTTCTTAAACAATAAACTTAACTCAAGTCAGTCTCCATGATTACACGCCGTGCCTCATGGTCAAAAAACATGCACCTCGCTGTGCGCCACACCTGCACTAATTAACCCCTGTCTTAAGTAGACTTGTGGCAGAACACAGCACCACCCCATCCCAATACACAGAATGGCTCCAACATAAATGCTTGGGTTCCAGCTGCTGTCCTCTCCGGAGACGCACAGGGAGAGAAGAGGCGAAAAAGAGAAAAGAGATTTCACATGGGTTTTAATCAAGAATGTACAGATTCTTACATGTACATTCCTCCCACGGGCAGTTCAAAACCAGAATATCTCATATAGCTCCAATCGTAGCTGGCAGGACAAGCTAGAGCTCACATTTCTCTACTGAAGAGACAGTAGGAAAGAGGTAGCTATATGGGAATGAAAGAGAAGAGGAGGCATTACAGCTGTTCATTTGTTAATATGTGTTGAGTGTTTATTATAAAATTGGTTAAGACTGCACTTCATCACTGTAGGCTACACTTTTTTTTTCTCCTGAAATTAAGCACTTTATTTTAGTATAGTTAAATTTAGAATTTATTAGAGTAGTTATTATTTACTATCCCTCCAGTTTGAAAACTGAATATTGTTGAAATATTGTCAGTTATTGACTAAAAACATATGTTGATACAACTATATGTTATGGTACTGAATGATAACGCAAGTTAGTCGTTATGATGTTCTGGATCTTTGCTTCACAAAAATTTTCTCTAAATGGACCTCTTTGAATTCTAATTAAATACCCCTGCTCTTGTCGATTGGGCTCAGTTTTGTGATCCTGCAGCATGCCTATCCTGGTCCTGCATTCCCTGAACCCCATGAGCCTTTGGTAAGGCCGAGGAGCCACACCAATGTCCAGCTGTCACCTTTAGGGACTCGTCTGGCTATTTACAGGAAGAAGGCATGGTCACCATGGCTCTTGACACAGATGGCTGTCAGCAGTCTGGTTCCCTCCTGGTCCCTAGTTGGCCAACTCTTGCTCCTGGCTTTCCATCAGCGGCCTGGCCGACTCTGGCTCCTAGTCCGCATGTGGTGGCCCGGCCTCCATAAATTAATGAACTGCATCAGCTCTTCCACAGGCATCTGCATTTCAGTCATACCCTTACGGTCCTTGTAGTCCTTTTACCCTAATTGCATGAGCTGTGACACAGCAAAACATAGGCTGGGTACCACGATCAGTACAACAAACTTATGAAATGATAGTAGAAACAGCTAATCAAAGTGGCAGAGGATAAAAAAATGTGGTGTAAATCCCACAATTCTCCGTCAATGCTTTTTTGGTGCCCCGTATTAATGTATTTGCGCTGCAATGTCTTCATTACAGTGAAGTGGGACTTAATTTTACTTACCCATTAAGTTGACCTTTCTGCGGATAGCGTCCAGCTTCTCCTCCAGCTTTGTGGGCATGATGGAGACCTTGCAGGCATCAATGACGTAGGCAACACAGTGGATCTTGTCCTTGAGCCCTGGAGACTTACGATAGCCTTGCACATCCGAATGCAGAGGAGCAGAGGGGTTAAACTGAGTCATAGAGTTGAGGGAAAAGACAGGGACAGTTTGAGTTAACTACAGGCAAATCAATGGCTCATGCATTCAGTATCCTGCTCAATGTAAACTAAAGCTGTACCTGATAACGGTCTGGCAGATGACCTTTAAGGATGTTGCTGATGTCATCTATATCAAGCCCTGCCCCTGTGCTTTCCTCCAAACCCATGGTATCACACAAGAGGATTGGCAGAGGTTTTCCTTCTCGCCCGGCTTTCAAAGAGTAGGTGCGAAACTGTTGTGTACAAAGAGATGGAATAACAAACAACAAAATGGGGACACGGCAGGATTTTTATTTTGAAATCCATCACCAAGAATGTAAATCATTACATTGCAGTAACTAACCTGTGTGGTGAGGCTGGTGGTAGAGCAGCCAGCTATGGCCTGGCTGGTGACATGGCCTCTGAATACAGAGTTGATGGAATTGAAGAAACTGGACTTTCCAGCTCCAACTGGTCCAATGAGCAGAACCCGAACTTGGGACACAGAGCTGACTGTGGGTTTGTAGCTCATAATATTCTCCATCAGCTCCTTCCTTTTCCTGTAGAAACGAAAAAAGATAAAGAACTTTTTCTTCTAGTGAAAAGGTTGTTTGTTGTTTTAAACCTGATTGTTAAAAGAATTTCTGTGTGCATAGAGAGTTGATCTGTGGTGGTAGAAGTCATGGCTTATGACAAGTTGTTGTAATGTTAAAAACACTATAGCACAGTAAGAATGGCAAACAATTTCACTGCATGATATTTTGCATAGACATAATGATCTAAAATAGCTGGAGTAGTTTGCCCAATGACACATAGCAGCTTTGCTTTGCATGGCATGTGGAAAACTATTTTTCAGATCAATTTATGTCATACTGTAATTGTAATTGTTAATAGCATTATGTGCAGGATGATGGCTCTATCTATCTTACTCAGATTTCCAGATTATAGTCCTCCATGGGCTCTCAAGTTCTGTGGTTTCTGTTTAAAAGCAAAAACAACTTTTATAAAACAAAGACCTTAAACATATTCCATATTCCAATCCACCTAAATAACATTTTTCTCCATTTGCAAACAGTTTACATGAGACAGCTGGAGGATCTTTTAACGTTTTGTCATCCCAGATATATATATATATTTTATCATTCTTCACATGTGCTTTGATGTTTGAACAGTTTCTGGAGGAAACACCTGGCCATGCGACTCAGATATTTAACGCAATTATAAAGGAAAATAAAACATCCAGTCGCCTCCATACTAGGCAACAACCATAGACTGTTTATCTGATCTAATTTATATTCTTTGGCATTATTGAGAATCTGGGGGTGGAGAATATATTTAGGTCCACAATTCCATCAGTACCCGCAGAGCTGCTGCATGTACCTGGTTTATACATTTGGGGGCCGTAATATCCATTTATTTAGCAGCTGTTTATTTTAAAAAATAAAGAGAGGCTGGAACATTCACCTTTAAATTCATATTTTATGTTTAATATTTACATTATTTTATATTAATTTCATGTTCACTTTTCAAATGTACTGTTTCATACTTACCTTTTTATGTATGGTATTGCATTTTTTTTCTAATTAAAAGAGAAGTACTAAAGAAAAAAATAACCAATAAGCCAGGGAGGGCCTAGCTTTTTAATAAAATTAAATAAAAGATTCAGCCCCCAATATATTTCTTTCACTCCCTAACACAAATTATTTGTTAGTTTATTTGGTTTTGTCTTTAAAACAGTGTTTGAACAATGAACGACTCAAATACTAGTGGACAATAGTTGATAGGAATGCACATACAAACAGACACATGGAGTACATTAGTGGATTTGCCACAACATTGCATCAAAATATGGTTATTAATAGTGAACTCACCCTCCACTTGATAGACTTCACACTCTGTCAGGTTGAGGTCGTTGCCGTGCATTTCTGCAGCATTGAAGTTATAATAATTTCCTGGACTGCTGTACACAACTGCTTTGCTTCCATTGACAAGCGCCAATGCTTCTCCAAAATACGGACCAGAGTTAGCTATCATTTTCACTGCATAGTTGGGACTGGTGACTGGATATTTAAGGAGGTTTTCTCCACTGAAGGTGAAAAGAAAGGCCTGGTCATCACCCACATACTGTCCAGACTGATTGAAAGGTTGTTTGGTGTAGCCTCCAAACACATAACCAGAGGTGTTGTAGCCCACAGACACCGTGGGACAGCGGGTGTCACATCGTTGGTGGAAGGCTCCGCCAGTGAAACCATGGATGCTGGCCTTGTACAGCAACTTAAGTTTGACTCTTCCCACCTTAGAGCAGATTGTTTTCTGCTGGCTCTTGGTTAGCATGGGGTTCATAGTGACAGCTGGACTGCTGAAGTGTGTAAAAGATGCTGAATATCCCTTTAAGGTTTACTGACTATGGTGTCTAAATGCAAAAAGAAACACAGAGGCATTAAAAGCATAGACTGTACATAAGAAATTAAAATTAGAAAAATTAGATTAAAAGGCAGGATATTTGTTTGTAAAATCATGGAAATTACAGTGCTCCCATCCTAGTCAACCAACACCGATTACACAACATAAGAAAAAAATACCAATAAAATGAAAGCATCATCATAAAATGAGAGTTTAATTACTCCTTACATATTTCTGGACTGGAACTGGTTCTTTGTGATTTATTAAGTGTGTTGTTTACACACATAAATTAATCCACTAGCTGCTGTCATTAATGTAGCTATCTATTTGAAGAGTAACAAATACTTTCTAAAACACCTGTATTAAAGGGAGATAATAACACTCATTCTTCCTTCAATGTAACTATGAAATACTTTCTTTACTTGAGTCATGTCCAGTCAGGAATACCACAACCTAGGCTATAATAAAATAATGAATGTAATAAAATTGAACTTTGATTTACTCCTCAAAAGTTCCATCTCTTTTGAAACGTGCAAAAATATAGTTATATTTTAAACATCGGAAGTCCTGCCTTTTAGGCACAGGGAAACCTCTCCAACTGACAAAAAACTTAAGATGAAAAAAAGAGTTTGCCACAGCTTGATACATGTTGTGGCAGACAATGATCTGAGTTTCGATTTCCTCCAAACTGACAAAGAAATGGTTTGCCACACTTGCATTTTGACAAACTGCAGTCAGGATATCATCCTAGTTTTAACATATTTGCACTGGTTGCCAATTTCTTTACCTAATACAGAAATATTATTAACTATAAATAATTAATTACATAGGCTAGCTTACGTTGCCTTTAAAAGCTGTAACTGTGAAACCGTAGGACTAGATTAAAGTTTGGAAAAATCTGCAATCCTTTAATATTTTCAGCCTTACCTCGTTCTTATAGATAGTTGAGGAAGATAACCAGCTTCAACGCAGTATAGTTAACGGTTTTTAGACAGACGTTTATACAGAATGTCTGGATGCATCCGGCAGAGCTGGCAGAAACGAAACTAGACGCATCTGGCGTTGTGCCGAGCTGTGCCCGCGGCGCAGACAATTGTGTGCACCTCGCGGGTGCGCGCCCGGCTAAAGCTGAAACTAAACTGCCAGACTGATTTCTACGGCAGTAGGTAGTCCTACTGTTTAAAAACGATATAATATTATTTGTGGGTTTATCAATGGTGATATGTGATTTGAAGTCTATATTTATCAAAGTCAGAGAGAAACTTATCCCGTGAACCTAACATCCTCCTGAGGAGTACCCCTAAATCTTTAAGTTATTAAGCCTGTTCGTTCAGTTTGCCAAAAAGTAAAAACTTCACAGCACATAATCACCATACAATTAGAAACTATAAATACAGCCACCAACAATGGGCCATAACAGTTTTAAATAAAATTACAGTAGATGTTAGCCTATAAAATGTGTTTCTAAAGCAAAGTGGACCATGGCTTAGGTGTGAGACAGTCAAAACAGACGTGAAAGTCACAGAGATGTGCAACAGAATGTTGTACAGTAGGTGATGGTACACTTTCACGTTATAATGGAGGACGTTCACCTGGGCCTTTTTTAAATTGAATTAGTTGATTGAGGTACCATATGTAAACTTTAAATGAATTCAGATCAAATGTATTATGACTCATGTCAAATAAGGTAGCATATTCCCCTCCAGAGAAAGGCACTGGTACGTGCCACTCAAGAACAATTACGTTCCTACCAATAGTTCTTACATGAGGCCCAACATCTTTGATATAAGGCACAGATCACGCTTATTAAAATATTACAGACTTCTGATGTTATTCTGAATCATTAACAACCTTTACACACTGTAAAAAAACATAATAAAGTAACATTTACAAGGTGGTTTAAATCACCTGTATGTGTGACATTGTTACATAACTATAGCTTTGAAATGACCTCTAGTGGTTCCTTAAGTCAGAAATATTCAAATCCTACACAAAAGGGGTTTTAAAATGTGTAAAGTGAAGTTGTTCTGTTACTGTTAACATTGAACAATACAATATTTTAATGTGAATGATGACCTCTTTAATGTTCTTTAAAAGAAATATCCCATAAGCTCAGAGGTTTTTCCTTTGGGCTTGTTTATTGTGGTGTGTTGTCCTGGAAATACAGGTCAGCATACTGCAGGATGTGTTCGACAGCACTAAGCAGAAGCACATCAGTGTTCACATCCAGGTCCAACTCCGATGAGTAGTTCTTCACCGGAACGATGTAGGAGGTAGACATACCCAACAGAGCTCCAGCTTTACCCATCTATAAACACACATACACATATAAAATCATAATAAAATGTAGATACATTTTCAGATAGTGACAAACTGTAATTTGTTTTGTCCTTATTAACCCAACCAAACTCTAATGTGTTAGAATAGCAGGATAATAATAATCTGTCAATATACATTTGATAATATGTTTTTTGTGTGTATATTGTCTGTCTGTACATTGAAAAATTGATGCTTAGGGGCCTTTATTAGCTTGCGTTATGGCAATTTATATACCTTTATATGTTTTTATATGATTTGTATATTGTTTGATGTATGTATGAAGAACATTGACCTAAATTCTGGTTTGGATCATAACAAAACTGTCACATACCAATTTGAGTCAAACTTGCCCACCTGTTGTCTGCATAGTGATCTCACCTCCCTGTCTGACAACAGTAATTCAGATAATATGCTCATTTGGTTTATTTTACCATGTCCTGAATGATGCGGCTCTTATAAACCACGGTGACATCTTTGGCCGTTTCTGGACAAATTTGGTCTATGTGGGTCAGCAGAGCCACCTGGTGAACACCTAAAAGAACAATACAATGTCATTAAGGTTTCACTGCAATAATCAGAGAAACAACATTTAATTGTTACATTCTATAGAAATAAATTACTGACAGTTAAGATCTCAACAGTGCTTTCTTTAAGTTGATCTATAAATAAAGTTTCAAACCCCAAGTTGTTATGCACATCAGTCCAAAGGCTAACAAAAATGAACAGCTGTGGTGTAATATTAATGCAATAGGGGGTAAATGTCACCCCCTGACTGATTGAACTACAGCTCTTCCACTTTGGTTTCAAAAGTCAGAGCCCATAATTTACACAATGAAAATGCTACTCATGTGACAGGAGCAATATTAAGAAGAAAGTTAAAGAGTGGCTGTAATGTGGCAACGATCAGGTTACACAAACAGAATTAATGATCAAAGTTCCTTTTATCAGTCTGGGTTTTTGTCCTTTCTTTACCCAGGTCACTGATGTGCTCTCGGAGATGCTGGAAAGTAGTGCTGAGGCCTTTGGGGTACGTCAGGACTTTAGAGGCGTCCACCACAAAGGCCACACAATGGATCTTGTCTTTGAGGCTTGGCCTCTTCATATAGCCCACGGTCTCAGAACTCACTGGCTGATCTGGGCTAAACTGGGGGAGAGAAATTAAGACATTACATTTTAAAAGCTTGTTCGACCATTGCATTTAGTAAATGTGGAGGGTGGAAAGGGGGTCCTCGGGAATATAGTTGACCATGTAGTTGCCTGATTTTATTAAATATCTGATGGTGTTGACAAAAACTTGGGACCCATTTTGAGCAATCAAAAAATAAGAGTAGAGTTTTTTCACTCTACTCTTTCATCTGGCCTATATAATATACGTATTTAAAATATTTTTTTCCCTCCTTTTATATCAATTTGAAATGAAATCTCTTGTTTGAGGACAATGGATTTTGTGGGTACTGGGCTGTCAAAAAAAAAAATCATAAAATTTATCAATTTCAAAAAAAAAAGTATATGAAAAACAAAATTTATGTAGAAGACCCTCAGATGAACAACCCTGGTTGTTTTAAATAAGAAAATTTTATTAATTTCCAATGGAATTAGCAGTTTTCTTAGTGGGACATGTTTTTGCCAAAATCTCAAGAATCAGTGATATAGCATTTCCATGAGGCTGAGACAACCCAGCCCCTCCTCTCTGCCAACAGTACCCTGAGACAGTGAATAACAGCCACAGCGATCAGAGGATAAGAGGAATGACTGACTGATGTCTGAGTTTTTCCATTCTTTCTAACCTTCACATAGTATTTTGAAGTTTTAGATTTGTTTCCAGGGTTGTAAACTTTATTGTTGCTGCTCTAGAGACATTACATTTAAAATATTCCATTCTTATCCTGTTTTTAATTTTAGAGACAACCGGGCAGACATATGATCTGTGTAGCCAATATGCCCACTTCAATATTTGTTTATTTATCGGAAGTCATATCATCATTGCAATACTGAACAATGTTAAAGACCAATTGCAGATATTCCTCATATCTTGCAGGCCTACTGCTGCTTACCTTGTGTCCCTCAGGTACATGACCTTTAATGACGGACAGGATGTCATGGAGTGTCGGTCCGATCTTCTCTCCATCCCCTAGGCCCATAATATCACAAAGCACCAGTCTGGAAGGATCCTCTCCCTTCTTATCACGGATGTTGAACGACTGTAGCTGACACAAACAAAAAGAAAGAAATGGATGGACCCCTAAACCATGGAAACAGTCTACCTGCTGAACACTGTCCTCGACGAACAAACCTGAGACATTTTTGTTCAGTGTCACTTTTATGCAGCTTTGTGTGTGTGTCTTGTCTGTATGATCTATATTTTAATCTTTGTACTTTTGATGTCATTCAGTAATTACCATTGAATTGATCATAAGAATTAATTCTTGACCTGAAAAATATCTTAAACATATGGAGTTCACCGAGTTGCCATGCTCAACTTCAGGACAATTTGTCAAACTCCCAATAGTTTTAGTGATTTCTCTCAGTTACATGTCGCTGCTCCACTGGTACCTTCTTGGTGAAGCTGGTTGAGGAGGAGCCCACCATGGCCCGGTTGGTGACTCTTCCATTAAACACCGACTGAACTGAACTGATGAAGCTGGACTTTCCAGAACTGAGCGGGCCCAGGAGGAGAATCCGAGCCTGAGTCACATCCTCACAGGTTGGTCTGTAGGAGCTGACAGTCTTCATCAGACTCGTCTTTTGCCTAGATTAGAACTGAAGATGTTAATTTTCTGTTGATAATAATTTAAATTATATTTAAATAATTTAAAGTAGAATAGTCATGGGAAGAATGTATTTATCTAAATAAGTTGAAGGAATAATGATAATCAGTGTTTACAATGTTTTCTTTTAAATGAGCAGAAATATCAGTTTGACTGCTATTAAATTAAAATAGCTGCAAACGTGATATTATTAAAAGTCACAGCTTTACTCACTCTTCTGTCCACTCCACCTTTCTCCATTGAGATTCCATAGAAGGCTGAGCCGCTGAAGAGAGTTACATGCATTACAATAAAGCAGACTATTGCACACCTTGCATTTTGTTATTCAATGTATTTTTCTAATTCTATAAGTGGCTAAATACACAGTGATGTACTATCCAGATATTTCTAGAGGCTACAATGGGGTTTATTACAAAAATATGCTGTAAGGCTCTTAGGTCCAGAGTCACGAAACAGGTTACTAAACTGGAACCTGGAAATCAGCAACAATGGATACTACAGTATAAGGCAATGCCTCCAACCTTTTCGTAGTAGGCTACATATTCAGTGGCAATGTTGGCCTTTAAAAGTATTCTTGCCTTGGAACTGCGAGCTTACCTGAGAATGTAAACAAATGTTTGTCCTCGCTTTTCTCTGTTGAACTGGCGTTAGCAGCTATGCTGGGAGCAACTATGGCATCCACTGTCGAGCTGCAGGCCGGAGGTCGGATTGAAGCAGGAACAGCTAAAGGTTTCGCTGGAGTAACGCTGACGCCGAAGCTGATGATGAGAACAATCACATGCATTTATAGTGAAAAAAAGGGCAAAACATCCGTGCTTCTTAAATATCACCTGGTCTGTCTGCCTTAAAGTATCCAATAAAGATTTCTAAGTTGGAACGGTCTCTCTCACACAAAAATAGTCTGAAACGGGTCAACAAAGTTGCGACAGGTTCGTAACGTTAACCACCCTTTATAAAACTTCGAAAGGCTTCAAATGTTACCTGAATGCACTTTGCTTCTGCATATTTACCGCTGCGCGTATTGGAGTCAAACACCATCAGCTAACGTTAAAGGACAGAGTGGAAATAAAAACAGAGGCGATTCCCTTTCTGAGGAAAAGAAAGTGAAACTTAAACTGTCAAACAGCGAGGACGAAAAATAAGCCCATGTCATATTTGCACAGTGTTGACGGGTGTTCCCCTCCAGACAACAAACACTCTAAACACTTTCAATAGTTTTGGAGTGCACTACTGTCTAAGTCTGCTTCCTGAGTATCGATTTATGGGCCTAACGATGAAATTATATTTAACTGACGTTCTTAATTATAAAAACTTACATTATCATTTAACGACATGGACATCGGGATTAGCCTACATCTGTAAATAATAACACCTGGACAGGAACTATGTAAAAATTTAAATGCCACAAAAATAGGCCTAACATAGCGGGTCTTTGCATGCGTAGGACCCACAAGCGTGGTTTGTTTCCACGCCCATAAATCTGTGCAACCTTGCTGTTGGGAATACCGTCGAGAAAGTGGCTGATCGTCAGTAACATAAAAAAAATCATCATTATTAGACTATCAGAATACGCTACCCCTGATATCTTAAATAAAGATGGCGTAATATAGATCGTCAGAACACCGGAATGAAATATGGTCGTGTTGTTGTGCATGCTGCCTCTGACATGTATTACTGGTACACAAAATGCAACTGAGCCTTCGCTGATGTTATTAGCTCCACCTGTGCTCTTGCTGCTTTGACAAGTCAGAATGTCAGATGTCTGTTTATTTGGTGGCTAAGGTAGCATGCTGGTTCGCTTAGCGTGCTGTTAGCATTGTGGTTAGCATGGCATCTGGGGATGGTTGGTTGGGATGGTTGTAATTCTATTTAGCACGCGGTTAGCTGATGGTAGCTGGTTATATTAAATGTCTTGCTTTGGAGGGCTGTGTGGGTGCAGGTTATGAGGGGGTGTTTCTGGGATGCTGGAACTGTTAAGCCCTCTCTGTGTCACGGGCCCAACTCAACAAAACACCATGGTGTGAGAGGGGCCTCAGATACTGTCCAACTGTTGACCCTGATACAAATTCATATTGGACCTTTTTCTGTGAGACATGCTGGTCAAGGAGCATAATTCATGAAACATATCTCATACCAGTGCAATTGCTAACTACAGGCTATTGTAAAGTCTGGTGGAACCATATACAGTGATGGTGTTTGAACAACTGAAGACAGTTCACATGAAGTTTCTAATCAAGCCAGTTGGGCCAGCTGCGTTAGAATGATGTCTCCTTGAAGAGGGCCCAGTGGATTCATGACAGCACAACACACATAGGTCAAAACACAATTTAACATGGAATCCAGGCTTTCATAGGAATTATCCCCAAACATTTAGCACATTTTGATGTTTGTAAACATTCACCTCAGTAATGTAGCCTACTTATTGTTTTTTGTTTGTTTGTTTCTACTCATCATATCCACTAGAGGGAGCTCTACTCTTGTGTTTGAAGCAGTAGATGCTCAGCTGCTGACCACAGAGGTCAACCTGTGGCAACCATTCATTCCTTTTCCTTCCCAGGGAGACCATAGCCTGATATCCAAAACTTCCTCCTACAGTCCTGGAAAAAGTGCCCTGACACAATTACTGTCATCACTCTGTAGCTTTTAATAATTTAATGTTTTGATCTCAGTATTCATCTGTAATTGATGGTGGTGATTGCTATTCCTCAGATAAGAAACTTGCTGTGTGTGTTTGTTTCTTTGGCTTGTTTGAGAAGGCTAGTTTTGCATGTTTGAGCAGTATTACACTGGATGTTTATGGGAAATCCTGAAGCTGGACTGATTTAAAATAAGATTATTGTTAGTAGATAAGTATACATGAATACAAATTTGTTTTTGGTGATGTTTATGGTTACACTTGAATGAATTTAACTGTTACTGTATATGTTTTGATGTTTTAATAGTGTAAACAAATTCAGAGTTAAATATCAAAGACTTAAAGTATTGATGTATTGGGTTTCACTGATTTTGCAGTGGTTGTGTAACATTTGATCAGTTATAAAACAAACTTGGGGGAAACTGTAATTTGCTATTTCTATGTATTTTACAGCAATGGTCAAATTATATAATTGAATATTGGCTTTTACTTCACTCCAAAACACATCACATACATTGGAAGTGCATTAGAAAAGGATCTCCAAATGACCATTCTTAGGGGGCTTAATTGATATAACAGGTAAAGGTAAGAAAGGTCTGGCTTGGAGTCATTAGCTGACCCCACAAGAGTTCACTGACCTTCCAGCTCTAGTTATTTCTCTCATGTGACTGTCCTTGATAGGGAGACAACAGTTAGACTGATAAAGTAGACAGTAGGTCAGGCGTCAGGCTAGCAGATATCAGTGTTCTCTGGGAATCTTACAAGGTTAAGTCTTACAAGAATATTTACATGAATTTACTGGCTCCACAGATTAGAGTACAACTCATGGATAGTAATATATTCCAGTATGATTTAGCAATTGGAGTCTAAACATCAGATAGATTTGTTGTTCTAGGTTAAGGCCAGCTAAAGATAAGATGAGATAAGATAAGAGGGAAACCTACAGGAACTAGTGGGACAATAGAAACATAAAAGGGACCAAAAGATGTTATACTTCAGATTTGGTGTTGGCATTTGATGTGTTCACATGTTGTATGCTGTCACTGCATCTCCTCAGCCGGGCTCAATAAACCATGTTATGTCAGGCTCCAAAACTTCTTCACACATGAACCTGGCTCACAATAATTACAAACAGGAGTAACAACTGGAGTATTTATTACAGCAAGTAAAACCAGTTTCAGTGTTCATATGGGCACCTGACTGTTGTTTTAGGACAGACAAAAATTGTCTTTAAGAGGCAAAGACACTAGGTTTTTGAATGCCTGGCTGTAAACTGTAGACACACAAACAGATTCTGAAAATCACAATATAAACAAGTTCAGCTTCCAAATTGTAGCATCTGTTGAGTTTTAAAAAGTTACAACAAACTTAATTCCAGTGTTTCAGTGTTTTTCTTCAAATGTAAAACTGCAGGATTTTAGGCCAGGCAATTGCATTAGAATGTTGATTAAACCATTGTTTGTATCCTCTTTGTAATGTGAAGAAAACTGACACCTCTTTGTTTAGTGCCAGAAGGACTGTTTTGTTTTGACTGTTTCATTGACACTTAAGATAGGTCAAGGTGTCAACCATTTTGGAGACAAGCCCAGTTGTTCTCTATGATTAGTTTAGAGCAAAAGACTGTTTATTCCTGTAGATTGAAGGGGGGTTTCACGTCTGGGATCGGTGCTCTTTTGTTCGACCAAAAGGTAGAACAGTAAGGTACACCCTTCCCAATTGGGTGACGACCAATGGCTATGGACCTAAGCCATTTGGAGGAAAATGGACCCGCCCACATACCTGGAGGATATTAACAATTTATTTTGTGAGAATCAGGACTGTAAGCTGTGGATCTGGGAGGAGAAGCAGCTTTTCAGTCCACTGCTGGAGGCGGCTTTAGCTCAGTCTGTTCGGACTTGACTGAAAGCTGTAAATCTGAACGGAGGACCAACTTTTCAGTCCACTGCAGTGTTATTTGTTTGTTCTGTAATGCCATCTCTTTATTCACTAATTTTTGTAATTAAATCTTTTTGTTAATTTTCATTGGACTGAGCCTCTCCTTTCTCAAAATCTGAAAAAACGCAACACATCCTGCAACCGATAAGGTATAGTAACAGCCCACAACAAGGCACCTTGTGACCATGCTAAGCTTTTGCTGTGTCAGCAAAAATAATGGATCTTTAGTTTTTATTTCTAGAGCCCCATTTAGAAAGGCTGAGAAATGTTAGGCCGCTGCTACATGGAGATATGAGTGGTAGGGACTAGTGGACTCAATCACCCTGCTGGTACCCCCATTTTCAAAACAACATGGCAAAAGTACACTCTTGAATTCCCTCATGGGAAATAAAACATGATAAAGTGCCCTCTAGTCTGGCCCAATGTGCAAGACAATGTGAAGAAGTGCCCTCGTTCACCTTGAGAGCTACCTGCATAAAAACCCTGAGGCAGTTGTCGGAGTGAGAGATGCTAAGAAAATCATGCAGTCTAAAATAAAGTTGTTGACTCTCAACTGGCACACCATGATGATGATATTGTGAACAGAATATTGATTTTATAATGTTTTTAATTGGTTGAATCGATACCATGTGTAAACTTTACAGTGATTCAGTGTATTGTGGTGTGTTGTCCTGGAAATACAGGTCAGCATACTGCAGGATGTGGTCGACAGCACTGAGCAGAAGCACATCAGTGTTCACATCCAGGTCCAACTCAGATGAGTAGTTCTTCACTGGAACGATGTAGGAGGTGGACATACCCAACAGAGCTCCAGCTTTACCCATCTACAAACACAGACATGTGACTATCAGATTTTCACACCATCAGTTGTCAGTCTGCATATGGTCTCACCTCCCTGTCTGCCACTGGTAATTCAGCTGCCCCAAGCAGTATTTATATTTTTGACTACTCCATTAGTGTGTTGCTAAAATTATTTAAATGTCTGTTTATGTTGTAGACCATATAGAGAAGCTGTCCCGCTAAGATTAATCCACTTCTTAGTGCACTCTTTTTCTCTTTTACAGACCGTTAAGAGGAAATGCCTCAGAGTCTGGATTGTATAATTACAATACATGAACATTTATCATTTGGTTTATTTCAGCCTACCATGTCCCGAATGATGCGGCTCTTGTAAACCTGGGAGACATCTTTGGCCGTTTCTCGACAAATTTGGTCTATGTGGGTGAGCAGAGCCACCTGGTGAACACCTAACAGACACATGACAATGCTGTCATTAAGGTTTCCTGGCAAGTATCAAAGAAACATTTAATTGTTATATTAAGAAAGAAATTACAGATTGTTAAGATCTCAACATTGCTTTCTTTCAGTTCAAGTTCCATTTAACATCAGCCTGTGTGTTTCGTACCCAGGTCACTGATGTGCTCTCGGAGCTGCTGCAAGGTGGTTTTGAGGCCTTTGGGGTAGGTCAGGACTTTAGAGGCGTCCACCACAAAGGCCACACAATGGATCTTGTCCTTTTGGCTTGGCCTCTTCACATAGCCCATAGTCTCAGACCTCACTGGCTGATCTGGACTAAACTGGGAGTGAGAAATGAACATGTTACATTTTTTATACAAACATCTTATGCTGATTAGCCCTAAACACAAAGTACAGCTGAGTTCATGGAAATGTCATTTGTTATTCAGATATTTACTCACAACCCAAAGTACTGAATAGGAAAAATTTTCATTCACAGAATTTTTTCCTGCATGGGGACATGAATGTCTCGACCAAATTTCATGGCAATCCCTCTATAGTGGTCAAGACTTTCATTGTTGGCGCTAGAGGACATGTCAGAGATCCACCAAGGTCATGAGGCTGCATCCTCTGGGAACCATGAATGTCTGTACAGAATTTTATGCCAATCCATCTGGTGGTTGTTGAGATATTTCGGTGGTGGACTAAACAACCGACGACAATGCCACCTGCTGCTAGCCATGCCATGCTGCTAGCATAGAAACTACAATATTACAATGTTGATCCTACTTACCTTGTGTCCCTCAGGTACATGGCCTTTAACAACGGACAGGATGTCATGGAGGGTTGCTCCGATCTTCTCTCCATCCCCCAGGCCCATAATATCACACAGCACCAGTTCGGAAGGATCCTCTCCCTTCTTACCACAGATGTTGAACGACTGTAGCTGACACAAACAAAAAGAAAGAATGGATGGACTCCTATAGCATGGGAACAGTCTACCTGTTGAACACTGTCCTCTGACTAACAAACTTGAGACTGTCGTGTAAAAATTCAAGACTTGGGCCAGATAAGAAAGCTTGAACCTTTACCAACATTTTTATTATCAACAAAAACAGACACCAATTAGAATACAAAAGTTCCACCGGAGTGTGTCAGAGATCGGTGCAAAATAGAGCCCCATCCTGTTACCAGAACAGAGACCCGAGTCGACATGAAAACCATGTAACGACTGACTTTCACCTCCTTTTGGACCTCCTTTTATAGCTCTGTTTCTTGGCTTCAGATCATCTCTTGGCTCTCTTTCCTACTGCACCTGGATCTGGGAAATTCCCTGACTGCCTGCTCCTCCTCTCTGTGTCCTTTACATGCCCTCCGCTTGATCATGCCATTTCATCCATAACCTGACTTTTATGGAATAAACTGGTGTTGTTTGTGCTCCGTGCTAGAAACAGGACATTCTTACTGTGATGGACTATATTGATGTATGTTTTGTAATACAATTTTCACAAAATCTGCAAAATCTATATTTTCCTTTGTAAGTGTTTTTGATGCTGCCTCACTGTGCTCCCTCCCTTTTCTCCCAAAGCACACGAATTTGCTCCCTCACACACACACGTGCTACTGCTGAGCCTGGGCAGAAAGGAGCACACACACTCAGAGCTATAGAGTTTTAACACTGTGATCCTAACTTTACACTATAAAATAACACTTTAAATGATGACAATGTAGACCACCATTGCTCTAGTAATTAATGATAACAATTTAGGCTATAATGTTCCAAAATAATTCAAAACAAGACATTCCTGTTCAGTCGCTTTTATGCAGCTTTGTGTGTGTGTGTGTGTCTTGTCTGTATGATCTATATTTTAATCTTTGTACTTTTGATGTCATTCAGTAATTACCATTGAATTGATCATAAAAATTAATTCTTGACCTGAAAAATATCTTAAACATGTGGAGTTCACCGAGTTGCCATGCTCAACTTCAGGACAATTTGGCAAACTCCCAATAGTTTTAGTGATTTCTCTCAGTTACATGTCACTGCTCCACTGGTACCTTCTTGGTGAAGCTGGTTGAGGAGGAGCCCACCATGGCCCGGTTGGTGACTCTTCCATTAAACACCGACTGAACTGAACTGATGAAGCTGGACTTTCCAGAACTGATCGGGCCCAGGAGGAGAATCCGAGCCTGAGTCACATCCTCACAGGTTGGTCTGTAGGAGCTGACAGTCTTCATCAGACTCGTCTTTTGCCTAGATTAGAATTTAATAATAACAATAATTTAAGAAGGATAAAGGCATGGGAAGAGTGTATTTATATAGCCTAAATGAGTTGGAGGAATAATGGTAATCTGGAAGAGTTTACAATTTGTTTTCTTTTCTTTTAAATTAGTAGAAATATATCAATGTAGCTGCAAACGTTATATTATTAAAAGTCAAAGCCTTACTCACTCGTCTGTCCACTCCACGTTTCTCCATTGAGGTTCCAAATTAGATTGAGCTGCTGAAGATAGCGTGCATGCATTAAAATATAGCCGACTAATAATGTTCCCTTGCATTTTTTTCCCGGTATTTTTCTAATTCTATGGATAAGTTGCAAAACACACAGTAATGTTACCTCCAGATATTACCAGAAGATACAATGGAGTTTATATGTACAAAAGGATTCTACAATTCTCTTAAATCCAGAGCCACAAGACTGGTTCCTGAACTGGAACCCTAAACACAGCATCTGGACAATGGATACTACAGTATAGTAGTAGTAATACCTCCAACCTTTTCGTAGTAGGCTACATATTTGCGGCAGTGTGTAGTCTTTAAACGTATTATTTTCCGGGAACTGTTGAGCTCACCCGGGGATGTTTTTTTCTCCATACTCATCCTTGTACTGAGGTTTTTAGCAATTCTGGTATGATCTCTGGCACCCCCTGCTATGCTGAAAAGAGTTTGGACTGAAGTTGCTTCATCTGGTTCAATAGTAAAGGTGTTGTGGCCGAAGCCACCAAAGCCGCCGAAGCTGATGGGGAAAACAATCTCATGCATCAGTGTGAGAGCATAAAGATAAAGCAGAGATAAAGCAGCAGAAATTAAATGTTCTTGGTTAATGGTCTTACATATAAGAGTTAAAATGTGAACAAAAATAGCATTATTGAAATTGACAGAGCAATCTTAGTTTCCTAAAGACAAATCAGTCAAAGACTCTACCCAATTGAGTTCTATGATGCAATTTGAGTTTGTAAGGGACCAAATAGTCTGTAATGGAACTCAACAGAAATAAAACAGACGTGCTTCTTAAATATCACCCAGTCTGCATGCCAATATTCAATACGTTTTCTAAGCTGGGGACTGTCACTCACACAGTGGATAAGTAAGATAACAACTTAAGATAACAAGTATAAAAAGGTTACCACAGGTTACTAATTTAACGCTCACTATCATCTGAACTGCCACCCTTTGTGAAACTTCAAAAGGCTTCAAGAAATATTACCTGTATTTATTTCGTTCTTCCATATCAACAACCACAATGCATGTGGCGAACAACAACAGATCTAACGTCAAAGGACAGTGGAGAAAATAAAATCAGAGGCGATTACCTTTCTGAGGAAAAGAAAGTGAAACTAAAACTATCAGACAGCGAAAAGGAAAATGAAGCACATGGGGTTTTTGCACAGTGCGAACCTGTTTAGAGCCAAATGGCCTCTGGTAATGTTGAAGTCTGCTTAGGCTTACTGAGTATCGATTTATATAGGCCTAAAGATTAAAAGATAAAGTAACTGATGTTCTTAAATACTGAATGACGTGATTTGTAACACTACATTATGTCATGACAAGGGCATCATGATCACATCTGTAAATAACTGTAAATTATAGCACAGTACCATGTAAAAGGGATTCTAAATTGCCATTTGAAAGTGCGAATGTGAATGGTTTGTTTGTCATGTGTCAGCACTGTAGCTGTCGCTGGAAAAGGTTTTTGTTTACTGTGTCATTGTGTTCAGAATTATGGTTTTTCGAGTGTAATTTGGTTTATCTTGAGTGATGGTGACACCTGCTGTTTAACTTGTGAATTACACCAAATGAAGCGCATGCTGGGCTCCCATGATCAATTAAGTATAATTGATTTTTAAGCTTCGATCAGAAGCAAAAAAGGGAAGAAAAGAGAGTTCCAGAAGACTGTGTTGCAACATTGGAAGATTGTAACGGCTCCTAAATTCTGTGCAGAACATGGTATGTGCTTATATTATTTTGAACTGATGATATTTTGTGTTTATATTTCATACTGAAAGTGATTGTGTTTGTGATTATATTATTTCAGTTTTTCACGGTGTTTGCTGGTCAAAAGAAGATTATTTTTGAAAAGGAACAAATAAATACTGGTCAAACATCAGTTGGAGCGTGGCTTATCTGTAGCAGAAGAAAAGCTTGGGAGCAGTTATAGTGAAAAACGTGGCCACTTATCAGAGAAAGCTACCAGGTTTGCTGGCGTTTCTTCAAAGGACGCTGCATGGCCATGCTACAAGGACTCCATTGAGCAGTTAGAAGCACTGTGATGAACTAGTGACCTGTCTAGTATCAGCTGGGATGGGCGGGAGTATTATCACATTTTTTGTGCAGCACATTCACTTTCATTTCTCCAACACATGTACACAAAAGGAGGTAACATTGACAGTTTTAAGGAGTGCAGTTGGATCAGACCCACATCAGAGAGGGACAACAGACTGCTCATAGGGAGGGAAACTGTGAAGATAGACTGACTGTGTTGGTGGACATGTGATGAAGACATCACAGCAGAGACATACAGAGGTGGATTTCACCATGCCAAAAAAACTTTTTTGCAAGAGAAAATGTCAGATGCTGTGGCCAGAAATGAGCAGTACAGTAGTCTGTGATTGGCAGAGATTAAGGGAGATGGTTGTTATTGTTCCTGCTAGGCCGAAGGGTGGGTGGGTGTGAGTGAGCCAAGTAGGAGCGGGACAGAGAGTCAAGAAGGAGAAGTTAACTTGTTACTCAGCGACAGCAGAGTAGTTTTGGCTTTGGCTACAGCCCACAGTAGCCTGTATTTTGTTCAGTAATAAAGCATGAGCAAAGCCAACTATCATCTTGTAGCTTCTTATTTGAGGGACGCTACAGTATTTTATGTCCCCTGTAACAATTAAATGCAAAAACATAAAAAGGGAAACTCTCTCTTCTGGACTGCTCCCCACTCTGTATTGCCTCTTGTGGGGGTCACAAGTTCTTTAAAGCAGTGATTCCCAACCAGATCACAGGTCATTCCCAATACTGCTGCAGTTTCCAGAGGGTACCTGGAAAGTTTGTGGAGTAGCTTAGCTAATTAAAAAAATTTATAGTAAATATTTATATTTGTGTTTATGAGGAAAATAAATGCTCAAATAAGGTTACAATTTGTTGAATGCTGATCTGTCAGACATTAACTGTCACCTTAACCAGTAAAGTACCAACACATTAACTGTGATTAATTTGTTGTATGGTGACATTTGTCTTTTCTGCACAATGTTAGGACAGTTAAATTTTGCTTACTGTGTGAAGTAATTAGAGGCACATGATGCACAGTTTTTCTTGAAACTGGATGACAGGAGATTTGAAGGATACAAGCTGGTGGTAGACATTTTTACTTTATGTATCTTCTGATACTGTTCATACATGAGTTAAAGGTTTTGGGTAAGTAATGGTCTTTTGCAGGACAAATTAAGTATTACGACAGGCCTTTTTAGTATTTTACACAATGTTACTGTAAAGTGTAAAGAAGTGATTAGAGGCACAATTTTCTGGATTTTGCATGACAGGAGATTTGATGGATACAGTTCAGCTGGTGGTACATACAGAATGTACATTTTCACTTTAGTGTCACTGTATCTACTGATACATTTGGCAAATGAGTTAAAGGTTTGCAGGACAAATGAAGTATTGTGCTACACTTTATAAACAGGTGTGATAATTGCTCTTAATGTTTTGAGAACTGCAACAGTGTTTCAGAAATGTGCTTAAGCAACTAAGAAAACCTGTAATGACTGCAGTCACTTCAATGAAATGAGGTGTTGTTTGGGGTTGCAACTATCAATTATTTTCATTATCAATTAAGCTGACAATTATATTCTGATTGTTTTATCTCTATGAGAAGTTAGTGAAAAATGTCCACCCTAGTTTCTCAGTTTCCAAGATGACCTGTTCACATGTCTTAACAACCTAAAGATATTCAGTTTACAGTAATAAAGAACAGAGAAAAGCAGCAAATCTTCCTATTTGAAATGAAAATGGAATTTTTGCTGGAAAAAAAATAGCTGCAGATTATTTTCAGTCAGTTGACAAAGTGATTAATTAAATAATAGTTGTAGCGCTAGTGTTGATGTTGTTTTTGTCCAGCTGGGCCATTTTGACATGTTATAGCCATATAGCAAGAAAATAATAGCTGCAGCAATTATGCCGGAATGAAATATGGATGGCTCTCTTGACATGTCTTACTGACACTCCTAAATGCAACTGAGACATTGTTGATGTTGTTAGTTCCACCTGTGCTTTTCTGCTTTGACAAGTCAGAATGTCGGTTGTCTGTTTATTTGGTGGCTCAGGCAGAATGCTTGTTAGCTTAGTGTGGATAGTTTGCTTGTTGCTTTTGCTAGTTGAGCAGCATGCTGCTGGTGATGGCAACATCATGTAAACTGGTCGTCATTATCTAGCGCACTGTTAGCAGATGGTAGCTGGTAATGTTGTGAATATCTCTTGCTACAGAGGGTGTGTGGGTGCAGGTTATGTTGGGTGTTTCTGAGATGCTGGAACTCTTAAGCGTGGGCCCAACTCAACGAAACACCAGTTATTGAGAGGTTGCCCACCTGATGACACAGACTTGCCTGTGCTTACTCTTACACTCGCACACAAATTCATATTGAAACCATGTTTGCAAACCTTTTTTTGCAAGACCAGATATAGGCCTACAGTTATGGTGTCTGGACATCTGAGCAGGCCATGGCATTCAGATGAAGTTTCAAATCAAACCAGTTGGGCCAGCTGCAGTATTTTCACCCACGCAGAACTGTACTGTTGATTTGAGGCCGAGTCAAGCTGCCAAGTATCTGCTCTTTACTTTGGTGAGGGTCACATTTAAAGGCGGCTTCAAGGTGTATTAGGTTAGGGCTGGAGAATGATGTCTCCTGGAAGATAGCGCAGTAGATTCTAAATTAGGTCAAAACCTAATTTAACGTGAATTCCAGGCTTTCATAGGAATGCTCAACCAACTTATGTTTTCATGTTTGTAAACATTCACAGGTAGTAATGTAACTTACTGTGGTGTTGTTTTCTACTCCATCATATCCACTAGAGGGAGCTCTAGTCTTGTGTGTGTGTGACGCTGTAGATGCTTAGCTGCTAGCTGACAGCAGAGGTCAACCTGTGGCAACCATTCATTCTTTTTCCTTACCAGGGAGACTGTATCCTGATATCCAAAACTTCCTCCTAGAGTCCAGGAAAATGTGCCCTGACACAATTACTATCATCACTCAGTAGCTTTTAATAATTTAATGTTTTGATCTCAATATTCATCTGTAATTGAGGGTGGCGATTGCTATTCCTTGGATAAGAAACTTGCTTTGTGTGTCTGTGTGTGTTCATGTGTGTTTGTTTCTTTTGGCTTTTTTGAGATTTAGCATGTTGGAGCAGTATTACACAATGTCTATGGGAAACCCTGAGCCTGGACTGAGTCTAATGTAACGTAACATAATATTGTATTATTAAGTATACATACACATTATTTGTACTAACAGTAGTGCTGATGTTTATGGATACACTGAATTGAAATGAACTCTGTAACATATTATTGTATATATTTTCATGTTTTAATAGTGTAAACATCAACAAACAAACATGGCAAACTGTAATTTGCTATTTCTATGTATTAAAATGGTCAAATTGTATCATTCAATAATGGCTTTTACTTCACTCCAAAACATATCACATACATTGGAAGCTCAGAAGAAAAGGATCTCCTAATGGCTAGTACAAATAGGAGGAATGATTACAGCAAGTAAAATCATTTTCAGTGTTCATATGGGCACCTGACTGTTTTAGGACAAATCTGAAAGACACTTGGTCTGTAAATGCTGACACAAACAGATTCTGAAATTCACAATACAAATGAGGCTGTGGTCACTTAATCCTAGAGGTTGCTGCTCAGACTGTATGTAACCAAGTTTCTCTGTAATAAACTATTTGCATTTAAAAACATTTTGAATAGTTTGCGTTTATATTATTATACTTTATTAGAATTAACTGTTGCAGTGAGATGAGTTCCCACCATTTTTATACTGTTCAGGTCCTAAAAAGTACATTCAGGAAGATTACTTCTATATTAATATTTCCCATTGTCAGCTCACTCAGCAGACTTTGGGTCTTCCTGTTATTCAGTCATCCAGTCTGATTCCCCAAGATCTTTGGTAATTCATCACCTTGTTACTATCTGAC